ACCCCGAAGGATCCGGGGATGCCACCGGATCCCGCACGCTCCGGGAATTTCCCTTTCAAATTTTCTTTCCTAAACCCAACTCCTGATCTTTTATTTATCGGGATTTACGTAAATCCCGCTCGGGGCCCTAAAAAGGGTTGGGGGAGGGGGCGGTGTCACCTCCGGGGTCCCCAAAAATGGGGAATTATCACCAAAAATGGGGGAATTGTCACCAAAAATAGGGAATTGTCACCAAAAATGGGGGAATTGTCACCAAAAATGGGGAAATTGTCACCAAAAATGGGGAATTGTCACCAAAAATGGGGAATTGTCACCAAAAATGGGGAATTGTCACCAAAAATGGGGGAATTGTCACCAAAAATGGGGAATTGTCACCAAAAATGGAGAATTGTCACCAAAAATGGGGAATCGTCACCAAAAATTGGGGGATTGTCACCAAAAACGGGGGAATTTTCACCAAAAATGAGGAATTGTCACCAAAAATGGGGAATTGTCACCAAAAATGGGGAATTGTCCCCAAAAATGGGGAATTGTCACCAAAAATGGGGAATTGTCCCCAAAAATGGGGAATTGTCACAAAAAATGGGGGAATTGTCACCAAAAATGGGGGAATTGTGCCCAAAAATGGGGGATTGTCACCAAAAATGGGGAGTTGTCCCCAGGGGTGTCCTCAAGGCGTCCCCAATGTCCCAAATCCACCCTGAGGGGACCTCAATGTCCCCAAATGGGCCCTGAGGGGACCCCAATGTCCCCAAATCGCCCCTCAATGTCCCCAAATCCCCTCTGAGGCCACCCCAATGTCCCCAAAACCCTCCTGAAGGGATCCCAATGTCCCCAAATCCCCCATGAGGTGATCCCAATGTCTCCAAAACCCACCCAATGTCCCCAAATCCACCCCTGAGGTGACCCCAATGTGCCCAGAACCCTCCTGAGGCCACCCCAATGTCCCCAAATCCCCCCAACGTCCCCAAATCCCAACCTGAGGGCACCCCAATGTCCCCAAATCCCCCCCTGAGGTGACCCCAATGTCCCCAGAACCCCCCCAATGTCACCGTGATCCCCCTGAGGGGACCCCAATGTCCCCAGAACCCCACCAATGTCACCATGACCCCTCTGAGGGGATCCCAATGTCCCCCAGATCACCCTGAGGGGACCCCAATGTCCCCAGGGGTGTCCTCAGGGGGACCCCAATGTCCCCAAATTCCCCCTTGAGGGGACCCCAATGTTCCCAGAACCATCCCAATGTCCCCAGGGGTGTCCTCAAGGGGTCCCCAATGTCCCAAAACAGCTATGAGGGCACCCCAATGTCCGCACGGACACCCTGAGGGGACCTCAATGTCCCCAAGAGCCCCCTGAGGGGACCCCAATGTCCCCAGAACCCCACCAATGTCACCATGATCCCCCTGAGGGGACCCCAATGTCCCCAGAACCCCCCCAATGTCCCCAAATCCACCCC